CCCGGTGAAATGTATAATGCTAAGGTAAAGAAAGTGTGTGGGGAAAATCTAAGTGTACTTTCAAGGCAAATATTAACACACACACACCCCATCCAACTTTCTCTAGTCCTTTATGTAAAAGTGAAATTGCATATAGGACTGATGAACACTGCACTCTTCTCAGAGGTACTCTTTCATGATTTGGGGTTGTTTGGGTTTGATTTGGGGAGGTGGGGTGTGGTTTTTTTCTTTTTCAAAACAGAACCATTCTTGGTTAGCTGGCTCTTTCTTGTGTTTCCTTATGGTATGACACAGCATTAGGTCCTGTAGGGAGAGTTTAAATGGAAAATGTGATTTTAATGGAATACGTTTTCAAGCTGAGAAGAACTTTGATGTAATCGTTTGTTAACATCTCCTTTGACATTCATTCTGTTTCACTAAAACTAATGCCTTTTTTTAATGGGTGTGTAATGTAAAGCTCCTAATTCTTTGGTTAAAAAGTGGCTGGGTCAGTGGCCAGGGATAGCAACCAACAGTTTCTATTGGTTTGGAGGTTTAATTCTGGTGGTTTGTATTTTTTGGGTGGTTTTTGTTTTGTTTTGTTTTGGGGTTTTTTTGTGGTTGGTGGGGTGGGGGAGTGGGGATGGAATCCCAAAATTTCAGTAAGATCAGTATGCTAAAGAAAAAAGATACAGATTGTGTCTAAACTCAGAATGAAATAGATGTAGGCAGGTGATCGTATTTACAGCTTTATACCAAGATACAAGTGAATATTTGGGTTTTTTTTTTTACATTTTTGTCTTGATTTATTGGCTTAGTTAATTTTGATGTAGTGATCTGAGGATTCTTAGTTCTCTGTAGCTTTTAGTTTTCCCTGGCTTGCAAGAGTAGTAGAGCTTCTATAAAGCAGTCATTTCCATCTTTCAGGAGCCAGATTTTATTGATGATATAGAAGAAAAAACTCCCATTAGCAATGAAGTAGAAATGGAATCAGAGGAGCAGATTGCAGAAAGGAAAAGGAAGATGGTAAGTTGGGAAGCAAGTAGTTGCCTAAAGCTGTCACTAAGGCTTAGTGACACCTGCTCTTCCCATGCTAATTGCTGCCTTTTTGTAGGCTTGTAGAATCTGAGCATATCTGAAGTCAGATCCTTACATGAACTTCAGCTTAAAATGCAAGGCTTGCTATTTGAGAGCACTTCATCTGGCTTGATCATTGCTTTCTGACAAAAAGCTGCTTTTATCTTCACATGTATACAACTTTTTATTGCCTTTAAAAAAGACATTGTAGAAATCATCTAGATTTTATTTTCTTCACTCTTCATTACTACTTGTTATTTGTAATGTCCATTTTTATAGATGGTATTGGAAGTCAGGACTTCTGTGAGGTTGGTAGAACAGTATTATGGAAACTAACTGGCATTTTAAAAGGCGCTTGTTTTGTTAGGCATTCAAAATGTGAGGTACTTGACATTACCAGTTCAATCAAAATCTTGGCCAAGTTGTATAATGAAATACTAATATTTGGAACTTTCATTTTGTTGTTTGTTTAAAGTGGCACCAAAGCTGTCTGCATCTGCCAAGACTTTAGAAAACAAGGGGGATGGGGTGGGATGGTGTGTACATTCCTTCTCGTCAGTATTTTGTACAATTCTGTCAGTAGCAGAATTGATGAGACTCGTGTTTATGAGACATCAGAAAGCAAAACCTGTTCATTAAAATACACATTTTACTTACAAAATCTGAAGAATGACAGCATGAGCTCTGAGACTAACATACAGCAGTATCCTGTTGAGGAATGATTCTTACCAAACACTGTTGAATGTACTGGGTTTTGTGGCTGATTTTTTTTGGGGGGGGAGGTGGGAGAGGGTTGTTGGCACTTTATATTTGTATTCTTACTAAAGCAAAACACTCTCTGAAACTTAGTTACAGCACAGTTGCTGTAGTAGTTAAAGATGTAGTTATTTCTCTAGCTCCATTATGAGGATTGCAAGTAACTGCAGGTTTGTCTGTATTTTACCAAGCAAACACAGGCAGGTTCAGTGCCAAAACATACCTGGGTTCCTCGTTCGCTCATACAAGCAATATATTTCCAGGTATTCTTTCTTTGATACAAACATATTGTAGGTATCAGTGCACTGTTGGAACTACAGGCATTTATAAAGAAACCCCCTAAAATTTGTAATAGAAGCCCTCAGTTCTGCCACATCTATGTCATCTTAAGCACAGCTCTGTGCAGATGAAGGTATCTGCTTCTGTACAGCACTAGGACCTGAATTATGGATAGACAGAAAATTCAGCTCCTCTGCATGACCTAATACTATCTTGTTTTGAATAGTGATTCCTGGATGTTGATTGTATGTTTTGATGTAGTTTGTGGTACTTGGAAAATTGGGTCAGAGGCTAATGGGGCTTACTGTTGTTTGTTTCATACATGTATTAGTATTATATATCTTTCTGGTCCTTAGTGTTTCATTGTCTTTAAATACTATACATGCAAGTAAGTGGCTCAGAGGTGTGTGTTCTTTTTATTCTTATAGGCCAGTGATTTATTAGTAAATCACTGGTTTAGCAGTTCTTAGCAGGACTCTTCTTGTTTGTCAGGGTTGGTATGAATGCAAGCCTTTCTTCAGAAGTCTGTAATAATTACAGTCATTGTCATTGTAACATCTCCCTTTCCTCTGAGCTTCTGCTGAAGTTGATCTTCATGTCAACACACAGTGAACATGTTCTGAAGTATTTAAAAAAAAAAAAAGCATTTACATATGTGAAAGATTGACTGAAACTTAATCATAATTATTATTAAATCCTCAGACGAGAGAAGAACGGAAAATGGAAGCTATCCTGCAAGCTTTTGCCAGACTAGAAAAGAGAGAAAAAAGAAGAGAACAGGCTTTGGAAAGAATCAGCACAGCAAAAACTGAGGTTAAATCAGAATGCAAGGAAGCACAGATTCTCAATGATGCTGAATTTATTCAGGTAGTTATCTGGAACTTTATTTTAAAGCTAGCTTTAAAATAGGCATATTTTATCAGTTTGGATGTCAAGCTGCACTTTGAGATGTATGAAGGAAATACTTGGGTTTATTTCCATTTCCTCTGAGATCAAATATATTTGACCAAAATTTACAGAGTTCTTTGACGTTATATTAGCTCTTGATTTATTAATTATTATTTTTTTCTCAAGAAAACATGTATAGAATTCATTTATGAGGAATTTCAGTTATATTAGTTGATGCAGATGAGCACACACCCCAGCTGCATAATTCAGTCTCTCTTTGAAGTTCAGAATAGGAGGTATTTACTGATGCTGGCTTCAGATACAGGAGATTGCTTTCCTTAGGCACCCTCTATAACCAATGGAGAATGATTTGCTTTTTCAGTGGGTTACTCAGGAACAGATTATAATTCTTTATTTTCTTTTAAGGGAAAATAATTACTAAGCCATAGTTTGTTCTGAGTTCTGGCCGATGATACTTACTGTTTCATAAACAGTTTTTTACTCTATTGTCACTGGATGCTAGTATGCTGCATACTTTGCAAATACTCCTACAGATTCTCAGTTCAGGTTGTTTCTTCGGTTGTTTCTGTCAGTGTGCTATTAAGTACCTTTTGTGAAAATGCTAACCAGTTAGTAGACTATAAATGACAGAAAGGATATTAGACTGAAAGACATCATGATGTAAGCAGCTGATTTCTCGCTTACGGGTGAATGAGTGTGGTATGGCAGTTCTTGCACAAATCTGTAGTGATCTGAGCAGTGACTGGTGTGTGTGAATACTCTGCCAGTGATAGAGCAGGTGCTTGGGAGGAAAACGCAGGAGATGTTGCAATTTGCCTTAAAGAAGGATAGAAATGCTATCCCTGAAGTATTTTAGTTCTAACAGCAGCAGTGAAATAGGGGATTTTTGGACCTGTAAAGGAAGGGAGAACTGTCATTTTAAGATAGATACGTAGCTTTACATGTGTGTGGGATCTGTTTACTAGACTTTTATTTTGTACCAGGAACCAGCAAAAGAAGAAACTGCCACCAAGCCTACCCCAGCCAAAGTTAATAGAGCTAAACAGAGAAAAAGCTTCTCACGGAGTAGAACTCACATTGGACAACAACGCAGACGACACAGAACTGTCAGCATGTGCTCAGATATCCAGCCATCTTCTCCTGACGTGGAAGTAACTTCACAACACAATGAAACTGAGAATGCTGCACTGGTAGCTGAGCCTGAAGCAGAAACTGTTGTTACTGAAATGGTTACTGAAACGGAAGCTCCAGCACTTAATAAATGCCCTACTAAGTATCCTAAAACAAAGAAGGTATGTCTTTTAAAGACTGGGGAGAAGAGGATGGGCTTTAACAGAGCTTTAGAAAAATCATAGGCTGCTGCGTCACTATGCAGCTGTGTATGGATCTTAAAACAAAATGTTGACTCATTTATTTAAAAATCACCATTACATAGCCACTCACTGGTAATAAATTAAGAGATTTGAAAAGGTACGTGTAACATGCTTTGGTAAAGTTATTTTGGATTTTAAGAGACTTCCAAAATATATCTTGCAGAACAGTTCTGGCACAAATATTTTCTAAGGGAAGTACTTTCTAAATGGGCTGAAATAATTTACATAACCAAAACATAATTAAAGCTGTTAATTTAAAAGGAAATAAAAGTTGCCTTTCCTTCGTTTGTTCATCCTATCCTTTAGCAGGTATTTTAATGGTAGCAAACAGAATATCTCAGAGGAAATCATTAATTTCTAATACTTCTGCGATGGCTGTTCGGAAGTGAATGCATTTAAGTGCATGTTTGGAGGGAAGATTCTTCAGTGCTTTGTGATGAGTTTACTTTGTTCTATTAACAGTTTCTCTTCAGCTTAGATGCTTAGGCACAAATTTAAAATTTGTCTTGGAGTTCTGTTACTAAATTCACATCATAAGTACAGTTGATCTGGGCACTTGTATACTATGTTCAGTGAGAATTAAATACAAAAGAACTAAATGTTAGTTTACAAAGAAAAAAACCCAGCTACAACAAACAGAACCCAAAAAGTAAAACCTCAAAAACTTTGCTGTATAGAGCAAATCTATAGTGATTCCTTCTGTTGTCCCCATTATTGAAGTAACACTGTCTTCGTTCTTGCCCCATGTGTTCCTAAACTTGCAAACTGGCAACTTAGCAGTTTTCTGGTTTGCATAGCAGTTAAATAATTAAACTAAAAGAATTCTAAAAGCCAGTGATAAAACCACTCATAAAACACTAATTTTCTTTCTCTCTCTCTGTTTAGCACTTGGTCAGTGAATGGTTAAGTGAAAAGAGTGATAAAACGGGGAAGCCTACAGACAGTCCATCAGAAAGGCCACTACGCATAACTACGGACCCTGAAGTTCTGGCTACTCAGCTGAATTCTTTACCAGGTCTCACTTACAGCCCACATGTATATTCAACTCCAAAGCACTATATTCGTTTTACTTCACCATTCCTTTCAGAAAAGAGGAGGAAAAAAGATCCTGTGGAAAACATTACTGGCTCTTGTAAGAAGGTAATTCTTCCCTTCATTGTGGTTTCCCATCCCAGATTGATTAAAGATGAGTCTTCATTTGCTAGCATGATTTCAGGCAGAACAAAGCTGGTTAGCAAAGTAGTTCTGTCATGTGGAATGTGGTTTGAAATGGTTATCATTAAACTGTTAAGCCACCAATTTGAACTTGTTTTATTACAGCGTTGGTTGAAGCAGGCTTTGGAAGAAGAAAATTCAACGATGATTGATAGATTTAATTCACCATCACAAGAGAGATCTAGAAGTCCAGCCATCAATGGTGAAAATAAAAGTCCTTTATTGCTGAATGACAGCTGTTCCTTAACAGGTGAAGCTTTCACTAATACAGTATATAAGAGCTTTGTCAGAGTAGGTAAATGTGGAGGAGCATGTTTTTAATGTTAATGAAAACTCCATGGGTATTTGCACTATTTCCTTATACTTTGTTTGGAAGAAATGCTTAGTTGCATAGTGGTTGGGATTTTTTCCTCCTTTAATGGATAATTGTTACTAGTGTGTAGTCAGAAAAAGGCTAATGTTTTTGACTACAAGTATAAGAGGTTGGATTGTAAATGCATTTTCCATGCTGTTCTATGTATTCAGAATTCCTTTTAAATTCAGGGCCTTATGTTGCACATAGGGGAAAAGCTGTGTAAGCTTGTAGGCATAATACAAAATGGGAACATGCTAAAAACTAAACACACTTCTGTAAAGATGTGGAGTGTATCATGTATTTCCTGTGTGCAGTCCTGAACTTGGAATTTCCACTTCTTAGATGAACCGTCTTAAAAATGCATAGAAGTTGACTTTCCCTTTTCTGGAAACATAGACAGTTCTTTCCATTATCCTTTCACAGAAATTTCAGTTAGTGATAAACGTGGGCTGTGAAGAGTTTTGTTTTCAGGAGGCCTGTAGGTGGTTAAGAGTTCATCTTTCAGGAAGCCTGCCCTTAAGAGTTTTTTGTAATTTTGCTAATTTTTTACTGTGGAATACATAATGTTTATGAGTACATAAACAACTGTGATTACTCTGTCTAGATCATCTCTTTTCTGATTCTAACATGCAGATCTAACCACACCACTAAAAAAACGAAGACTCTATCAGCTGCTGGAGTCTGCATTCTCAGAAACCTCCACACCTACTCCTTCTCCATATGCCACACCGACTCATGCTGACATCACTGCCTCCGAGCCATCATTGTTTGCTACTCCTCCTAGGGTAAAAACGGAAGATGAAGCTTGCAGAAATGGTTACAAACCCATCTATTCGCCAGTTACTCCTGTAACTCCATGTATACATGGAAATACCATGCACTTTGAGGTGAGAGTTACAATGAATCGCACTGTGTTCGGGGAATGCATTCAGACATTCTTCTGTAAATCGGTATTTGTGCTCCTGCTAAAAGGGGGTGTGTTATATTTCTCCAGGCTAAAAAAGAAATTGACTTACAATTTCTTCTTACTTATTTAGAATATTTCCTCACCTGACAGTTCCCCAGAAGTAAAAAGGCGAGCTTACAGTCAAGAGGTAAGGATATTTGCCTTAAAACTGCAAGTGGTATCTTGATTTCATCTGAATGGCTGTGCTATTCTTATTAAATGTTTTTCACTAGCCATTGCAAGTTTCCTGGAATGTAAAGGGTCACTTCCTTAAAGGGTTTATTTGCTTATTACTGTATGTTTCCACTTTACCTATTTTCATTTTCTATTTTAAACTGTTTTTTTCTCTCCTCTTTTTCTGTATCACTTAAAAACCTCATTAGCTGTCTTGGAAAGGAGGAGTAACTACTGCCATTTAAGGATCTGAACAGAAATGCAACATTGGTACTTCTCAGGCTGTAGATGTAGATTTAAATTAACATTACTCCTTGTTACCAACATCTCTTAATTGTTTTTTAGAGCCTAATTATGCTCAGAGTGAGAGAGCAGAGCACAAAGGTAATGAATGGCTGTAGGTGGATTAGTTCAGGAGCAGCAGTGCTTTGGCATGTGCCTGGGTACTCCCAGCCTGGAGGCTGGATGTGTCCTGCTGCGGGGCTGAGGCGGGTGGACAGGCCACCAGCGTGGTTCTGAAACACAAGAGCTTCCACAGGGACCTCTCTGCCTGCGTGGGAAACGTTCCACAGCAACATGGAGCCACCAGTTCCATGGGATAGCTACACAGTTTGCATAAAGGTGTTGAACTGTAAATGTAATGGCACCTAAAAGGAATGGGTAAAAATAAGTAATAGCAAAAAGATTTAGTGGGTTATACTAATGGAGACTTTCACTTCTGGTGAGTCATGTCAATGAATGAACTAAACACTCTCCCCTGGGAGTTAAACACAGATGAGGGTTGTTGTTTCTTTTTTTAGGTCAAAAAAATACACAGAATTTTTCATACAGTCACAGCTGTCGACTGAATTTAATGTTGACTGAACTTAACCATTATGTGTAAAATATTGTAGTTGAATATTTTGATGTGTGTCTGACTCAAAAGAAGGGTTTTACTTAGGTACTTCCACTTTAGAAGTGGTACTTCCAGTGTTACAAACAGTTCTAAAAGGGTTCGTGACAGACTATACTGGTTTAGAAAAGCTACTTCCACCCATGGATCAGTGCTGTTTTCATGGTTAATACAGTTTTAAGAAGTACAAAAGAAGTTTCTGTAACTCAAGATTTATATTTTTCCCCTCTACAGAATACTGTTTTTTACATTGTTTCAGAAAAGCTTCTCCCTCATTCTTCCTTCTTGAAATAAATGTTTTCATGCAGAGGATCCTAATATGCTGAATTGAAGCAAGTGCTTTGTAACTTCCTCGTCAGGGACTTGCTCCTGTTTAAGCTTCTCCCCTTCCTCTGCGTATTATAAATAAAACCTGGCATTTAAAATTTATTTTGGCTTGGGTTAATGTGCAGTTTATTTAAATGTTTTTACCTAATACATGGCAATTGTAGAAATAAGTGGCTGTAGAACTGTTTAGATAAATTCATGGTACTGGAAGGCACACTTAAAGGCACAACTGAATGTCAGAATAATTGCAGTTTTCTTCAAGTGTGGAAAAATAGTTGACATGCTTTTTTTTTCATGCAGGGCTATGACAGAGCATCAATTCTAGCGCTGAATTCTTTCCGAAATTCCAACCTGACAGACATGGGCCTGCAAGAAATCAAGACTATTGGATATTCCAGTCCAAGGAATAGGACTGATGTCACACGGCAGTGCACTGGAGAAATGGAATCTGTGTCAGACCTCCAGCTGGGACTCGAAGTAATTGAGCAAAGTGCACTGCATAAAAACCTGGAAGCCCCCCCACATGATAGGACTGATTCAAACAGCCAATTAGAAACTGCTCATTGTGGACGGGGCACAATTTATTCTTCCTGGGTAAAAAGTCCCGACAGGACAGGTGTAAATTTCTCAATGAATTCTAATTTGAGGGACTTGACCCCTTCACATCAGTTGGAGGTAGGAGGTGGATTCAGAATAAGTGAGTCAAAGTGCCTGATTCAAGACGATGCTAGAGGCATGTTCATGGAAGCATCTGTTTTTTGTACTTCAGAAGATGGAATTGCATCTGGCTTTGGAAGGACTGTTAATAACGACAACTTGATGGATGGAAATTGCACACCCCAGAATCCTCCACAGAAGAAAAAGGTTATAATTTTAAGAATCATTTGGTCTCTCTCACATACTCTGCTAATGATATTTCTATAACAGAAAGAACCATAATACAGTAAAAACCAGCTGATGGCTGATCTTTAGATACTACTATGTAGTAGACATTAGGGGAAATAATGAAGAGCAAAAAGTAAAGCTGCATACACCCACTACTAAATGTATTTTTTCCAAGTAATAGGTACAAATTAACTTCTATTTCATAAGTCTTACATAAATTGCTGAATAAAGAATTACTTTTCAGGTTTGAAAGGGTTGCTTATGACACTAAATTTTGTAATATTTATTATACAGCATATATACTAGCATCATAGAGTCATAACAAGCTGGAATTTCTGTAACTTAATGTGCTGCTTTGTCTGGAGGTTAGATTAATTTATTTTCAAATCCCAGCAGCATTTAGTGCTTCAGTAACCCTCTGCCCCCTTTCTCTTGCTGACAGGGATTCTTCCAGGGTGTGACTGCTGAGGGCTTATGCTGCACTAATCCCCCAAACATGAAAAGGTGTGGCCGTCCCCTGACACTCTCCTAGGATTCCTGTTTAAAAGGCTCAGTGAAGAAACAAACAGAAAAAATCTATCTGTGCCCCTGAAAGAGTGAGGTTTAGGCTTTCTAAGGACACACAAAGCATCTTTTACAGTGCAAAAAGGGCATGGGGCATCTTGCCTAAAGAGAAGGTAGAGTTCAGGATTTTTGTAAGAGGAAAAATAGACACCTTTCCCTAGGATCAAGGGAAAAATAAATGTCTTTATGTAGTTGTTAAAGGTTTTTTCTATATTTCAACGTTTCTATGGGCATTTGCTCCTCTATTTTTCTCTCACCATTGTACAAGCTCACCTATTTCAGTACAGTCTTGTACATAGTGCCCACATTGCATAGATTTCATCCATTCTTAAGACTTAAGCTTTCTTTAAAGTAACGTCCTTCAAGGGATCCCAAGCATGGGATGTGGAAATCATACAAATGGTTTGAAAGCAAAATGAGTTTGTTCTTCTGTGGAAAATCAAATATTTTTAACTGTTCTTACCCTGACATTTAGATGAGTCTCTAATAGACAGGTGTGTTTGAAAGCAAACAAAAAGCCAGGACTGCAAATAAAACAGGGTGCTGTGGTGGTTTTCCCTGTAGAAACAGATGTCTGCTCTTACTGAGGACTAGGCCAGTTAAACCTTAACTTTTTTTCATTATTGCACTTTAATTTGTTGTTTTCTTGGATGGTTCAAAGTAGGTTGTTGATAACCAGAAGAAAGGATTTGAAGGCATTAAATATCATTTCTACCAAACTAGTGTCATACTGAGTAAAGTAGGTATTGCAGCTTTCTGCATCAAATCCTATAGGTACATAGCAAAAACATTTGAAAGTTTTTCTCACTGAAGGTAACTTACTGTTTAAACTAGGTTTTATTCTGTGGAAGCTTCTGTATAGCGATTTATATATATACATATATATAAACAAGAAGCCACTTTCATGTGCCAGTTGGTTTTTGTAAGAAACTGTACTTGGAATTTAGCATACGTTTTTTATCAGTCTCTCTTAGAGTGCAGTAAAGACAGAAATTGAAAATAAACTAGAAAAAGAATGAAAGCTGAAGTTGAGAGTTGTATATGTTAAGAAAAACGTATGCAGAGATTAGAAAATCCTTTGCATGTAGTAGAGTGAAGCAGAAGTGTAGCGGGTTTTTCATGCAGGGAGTCAGACTGAGAACATGTCAGGATATGACATCTCTTAAAATTAGCTTTACTGTGTCAGTATACTCTTAGTAATGCTGCAGTTCCAGGAGAAACTGTGAAGTCCCTTGTAGCTTCAACCAACAGTATGACTTCAGCAGCAAAGCTCTGGCTGACGGGCATCATCTTCTGCCACTTCCCTGAGGCACTTCTTTGTCTTGCCAGAAGCATTTGTCTTTTTTACGTTGTCCTTAAAGGCGTTAGTAGCTCAGTACTCTGTAAATGCACTGCAGATCTGGTGAAACATCTTCAATAATGCATCCTCGTTTTCTTTTAGAACCAAGTAAATGGTATGCGTTACTGAAATAATACATTTAATCAAAACCATGAGAAAGGAAACAAGTGAACTTCCCTTCTAATACTGTTTTATTTTGTTTTGTTCTCTCAGGTATCCTTACTAGAATACCGTAAGAGACAACGAGAAGCTAGGAAAAGTGGCTCAAAGACAGAGAACTTCCCCCTGGTTACTGTATCTCCTCATGCTGCTGCTGGAGGAAATATAAGTAGTAACAATGGTGCTAATGATGGGTATAACAACAGTGGTGAAAATGGGGAGCAGACTGATAACACTGCAAACCTGCCTGTACCACTGCCAACTACTGCTTATAACACTGCTCCAGAAGACACTGGCAACAACAGTGCGATTAAGGAATCGTCTTCCAGTGAGAAGAATGAACCAGAAGTTCAGTGGTAAGCCACAGCACTATAGCACTGAAGTGCTGAAGAACTGTTTACTTAATTCTTAGTCGTTTCTATTTGAACCTAGTTTTCATTGATACAGGTGCAGATACAGATTACTGTTTGGAAGCCCTTCTTCCAGATTAGTAAAGAGTTGTCTTCTCTTTTTTTATCAGAAATACAGCAGACATACCATACACATGAGAAGATAGGAAACATTACTTGTAACATACTGGTTAACTTATTTTCATTCTGCTTTGCTCTTTTATTTTCTAAGAGTAAAAGAGAAATTGGTTTGAGCAAGGCAAGTTGCCTAGTTCAGCAGAGTATAAAATTGCATAGGCAAAGTACAGGTGTCAGCCTGTAGAAAATGGGATGAGTGTTTAGGTGTGCTCCCTCCACCATTGCACAGGCTGGGCTGTGTGCTTGCTACAGTGTGTGGAGGAGAGTTTGGCAGTGGGATGGAAAGGATGCTGTGCTGCCTGTGAGAGTTTAGAGTTGGATTCTCAGTATGGCCTTGGCTCTGCACACGTCACTGTATTTCCACTGCTTTTTCTGTGGACTGAAGAGAAGGTTTTTCATCTGAAGTGTCAAAACCTTTCCAAAAGGGAAGATGGGTGGAACAGGAGAATAATCTATGTTTATTAGCAAAAGCCTCTGGAAGACTTTAGGAGTCTAGGTTTTGGTGATCTGGCTGGAATGTGTTTGTGGTGTTTGCTGTTACTTAAGTGCAATGTGTAGGGCTGCATGCAGTCTGCCTAACAGTTCCTTCTGCTCAGGTAAAGAGCGCTGGTGATATTGCATCGTTGTTTATCATCATTAAATGGTTCCCCTGTGTGCAGACCATATGCTCTGTTGGATGCCATGCCAGATACTCCAACCACCAAAAATCCTGGGCAGAGATAGTGTGTGAAGGAGGATGAAATGGAATGACTTCAGTCTGTACAAGTGTTGCACAACATTCTCCACTGCGTTTTTGGTAGCCTTAAGGTAGACGGTCAACTGTGGTGGCGCTGTCTCCAAAATGTTACTAGCACAAAATAAACCCTGCAGATGTTCTTCATGCGGTAGCGAAGGCCTGACAGTGTTGGGGTGAACATGGGCTGAGAAGTTGAACGTCCTTCTGCTCAGATGCTCCAGCTATTCCAGACTAGAAGGATGTTGTAGAGCCAATTGAAGGGAGAACGTAAGTGCAGTCTTCAGAGCTTCACTGAAAAGTGAAGTTCACTATGCAGAAATTAGGGTACTGTATTATAAGCAAAGAATGTGGGAACAGGCTCAACAAGGAAGAATATATTAGTAAGTTTTTGCAGTAATCCTGCAGACAGCAGCACCAACATTTATTTTAGTACAACAGTTACTGGATAGTAATGCTGTATGTTCTTGCCTGAAAGAAAAGCTTAGTTTTGTGGAGTGCTGTCGTGCATGTTCTTTTTGATCATGGCATGACTGTCAGACATAATTGATTATAAGAAAGAAGGTATGACTGTCACTTCATACCCACTATCTGGCAAATTAAATGTAGAAGCTTAAACAGAGCCACATGTGAGGTTGCACAGTATTTAGAAGTATGGAGCCATTATTAAAGAGCACATTATTAAAGAAAAATAATAACATATGTCCAGTGTTGGAAGAAAAGAGTTTTCTAAAAATGGAGACTACACAGCAGTATCTGCAACCTTTATTTTTTTAATTAATATTATTATTGTAGGTTTTGACTTTTTGACTGCTTAGAAAAAGATACCCACCATCACCACCCCCAGGTCTACAGCTGCTGTTTCCATATTAAGGGGAATTGTCAGTTCTTGTAATGTAACAGGGTTGCAGGATATCAGTTATATTTGTAGTGGGAGAAAACAGTTATAAAATACTTAACAAATCACATTCCTTATGTACAACCAGTTACTTGGCTCTTAAAGACTGTAAATTTCTTGTGGCCCAGTATTTGCATATACATTGTCCTAAATTTGGTCTGTGGGAGTAGACCCTCTTAAGTTTAAACTGTGCTTCTCTCTTCCAGGACTGCATCAACCTCTGTGGAACAAGTGAGAGAACGAAGTTACCAGAGAGCTTTGCTTCTCAGTGACCACAGGAAAGACAAGGACAGTGGTGAGTAGATGAATCATATTGAAGGCAGATAGATCTAACCAGTTCCCCCGTGGTAGTCCATACTCATTCTAATGTTATGTTTCAGTCTGCTTCATCTGAGGGGGAGAATCACCTTGTAGCCCATGCTTATTGTCTCACGTTCAGTCTCCACCTTCACAAATCTCATTTCCCAGTTGCAGTGTTAGGTCCCTTCTTTCGCTGAATTGTGGTCAGTAAGCAGATGACCGTGTATGACACTTGCCATATTGAACAGTCGCTTACAACAACTTCAGTAGCTCCTTTAAAGTCAGATATAAAGTGCTTAGTGATCTTTGCAAGACACTTGATTTTCCCACATTTATATTTCTCTCTGCTTTACGTTTGTAGAACCCGATCCTGAAAATCCAGAGCCTCCTTCTGAATGTCCGTCCCCAGATACTTCACAGAGGACTTGCAAGAGTCCGTCAAAAGCAAGCAAGGTAATGCACAGGGTGTGCAGGCACGTGCACTTAAAAAAATATAACCATGATTTACTACTTAGAGGAACAAGTACATACATAACCCTGCTGTGCAGTAATTTAACATAGGTAAGCCTCTGTAGCAGTGTTGGTGGTACATGCTAGCTAGCTGATTTATGTTCTGTTCTTTCAGTAGCTACGCTTATGTAGGCTCTTCATTCTGGAGAGACAGCAGAGGTTATGTCCATGGATTCAGTGTCCCCACTGAGGAACTGGCAGTCAGCACTGACAGCCCTAACACCGCTATGTACTTTGGTACCTTAACAAGAGCTCACTCTTGCCATGGCAGTTTGGCACTGTTTGTCAGTGGAGGCACTGAGACACAGAAGGTGTTGGGTAGCTGCTGTGTTGCCTGTGCAGTATTAACTGAATTAATTCACGTTGCCACATTTAGTCTTGTTTGCTTGCAGCATGCCAGTTTCAGGATGTTGTATCACTCTAAAAGTGGCTTTATTCTTGTAAATGGTCTTGTCTGGAATTACTTCTTTCAGACTCAGCAATCCAAAACTTTAAAAAAATAGCAGCTTCTTGCTTTGCCCTGATGAGTTGAACTTCTGTTCCTGCTTTAAAATCCACTTGCTAGTCTTTGACTTTGAAGAATGATTGATGCATACTTGCTGAATGTAGCGTCTTGCTAAGTTTAAGGTTTCTGTTGTCACTGTTTTTGTCATACCAAGCATGTATCTCTCTTTCACCATCAGGGGGAGAGAACAATATTCTGAGCACACATAGCTGAGTATTTTGCATATTCTGTACTGACAGATGTTCTTTCCATTCCAGCCCTCGTCACCGAGTCCTGTAGTTTCAACGCAGTCACTTGGGAAAACGCCCACAAAGCCGGATTCGCACTGGGAACCTGCAGCTAGTGCCCCCGAGGCCGAATGTGCCAATCACCCCAAATCCGAGGGGCAGCAAAAACAGCCGACAAACAACGTCCAAGCACTTTCAAAAACCCATCCATCTCAACCGCACCCGCGCAGTTCTGCTGAGCAACTCTCCCATTCACAGAAGTTGCCTTCTGCACCTTTGAAGCTGCATTGCCCGCCTTCGCCCCATGTAGAGAATCCCCCCAAGCCCTCGACCCCGCACGCGCCCGGGCAGCACGGTTACCTGTCACCAAAGCCCCACTCGCAGCAGCTGGGATCTCCGTACAGACCTCACCACCCGCAGTCCCCTCAGGTGGGAACGCCACAGAGG